GAGTTCATTTTTGCTTTTGTTTCCCTTGCCTCCAGAGACGTGTTGAATAGGAAATTGCTGTGGCCAAGGTCAAAGAGATTTTTGCCTGCTTTCTCCTCGAGGATTTTGATGGCTTCATGTCTTACCTTTAAGTCTTTCATCCATTTTTAGTTTATTTCTGTGTATGGTGTAAGAAAGTAGTCAAGGTTCATTTTTCTGCATATCACTGTCCAGTTTTCCCAGCACCATTTGCTCAAGAGACTGTCTTTATTCCATTGAATATTCTTTCCTGCTTTGTCAAAGATGAGTCGGCCATACACTCATCCATTTCTGTGGGTCCATTTCTGGGTCCATTTCTGGGTTCTCTATTCTGTTCCATTGACCTGAGTGTTTCTGTGCTAGTACCGTACTGTCTTGAGGATTACAGCTTTGTAATACAGCTTGGAGTCTGGGATTGTGATGCCTGCAGCTTTGGTTTTCTCTTCAGGATTGCTTTAGCTATTCGGGGTCTTTTCTGGTTCAATACAAATTTTAGGATTGTTTGTTCTAACTCTGTAAAGAATGCTAGTGTTATTTTGATAGGTATTGCATTGAATATGTAGATTGCTTTGAGTAGTATCGACATCTTAATATTTGTTCTTCCAGTCCAGGAGCATAGAATATTTTTCCATTTTTTTGTGTTGTCTTTAGTTTCTTTCATTAGCTTTCAATTGTTTTTTTTCCTCCCATAGTTTTCAGTGTATAGATTTTTCACCTCTTTGGTTAGGTTTATTCCTAGGTATTTTATGGTTTTTCGTGCAGTTGTAAATGGGATCGATTCCTTGATTTCTCTTTCTGTTGCTTCATTATTGGTGTATAGGAATGCAGCCAATTTCTGTGCATTGATTTTCTATCCTGAGACTTTGCTGAATTCATGGATCAGTTCTAGCAGTGTTTTGGTGGAATGTCTTGGGTTTTCCATATCGAGAATTGCGTCATCTGTGGAGAGTGAAAGTTTGACTTCCTCCTGTGGCACTGGAAATCTTATCCTTCAGAGAAGACCTGGCTCTCTCTGTCACTGGCAATACCCTGAGAGGGAATAACTGTATCAATAAAATAAGACATCCATAACCTCCACACAAGAAGTAGACACACAGTAATGGGTAGGGAAAGGATGGTCATTATTTCTTTTTCTTTTTTTGAAAGAGAAAACGTGCACGAGCAGGGGCAGGGGTGGTAGAGAGAGAGAGAGAAGGAAATCTTAAGCAGGCTTTACGCTCATTGTGGACCCTGATGCAGGGCTCAATCCCACGACCCTGGAATCATGACTTGAGCTGAAATCAAGAGTGGGATGCTCAACTGACTGAGCCACGCAGGCATCCCAGTCATTATTTCTGAATAGGCAGTTAAGGAGAAGACCTCAGAGAGTGGTTTGCAGGAAGACTTGGGTTCAAATCCTAGCTCTCCCACTTATTAGGTGATTATCATTTGTCAAGTTACTTAGCCTCACTAATTATCAGTTCCCTTGTCTATAAAATGAAATCAGAATGCCTTGTGAGGAGTAAATGAGTGTGTTGCATATCTTCATCATTATGGATGCCCATTTCTTATTTGTTAAAGAGGAAATACCTTTCTTCAATACCTCAAGGTCATTGACTCCCCTGAGGACATACAGCTGAGGAAACTGTACCTCCAGAAGCCCCGAACTTCTCTCATCTTTCATCATGGCCTGAGAGAAGAGTCTTATAACCAACTCACAACCCATTAGGAGCTCCAATTTGTGTGGAAGCCAAGAGTGGTCCAACCTCTGCATTTTAGTGGTGGGTTCTAGGGGAAAGTATGATTTTTTTCCTCACTTATTTGAGGGCAAAGGGAAATGACATGATTATGTTGTAATATTAGGAATGTAACAAAATGTGGTCTGAGAAAGGACCAGATTCTAACTGGGTTGCCGGCAGGAGAGGAAGACTGTGGAGACTGCTGGAGGGCACAGAACTAGCTCTGACTGCTGTTTGGCAGCCAATCAGAGGTACGAGTCAAAGGGCAGCTTTTAGTTATTACTATGACCCTTCCCTAGTGATTTCAGATGCACTGTGAGCATAGGCTGCCTGTAGAGCTACGGCACGGCCCTCAACAGAGAGAAATCCTTCCTGCCAGTCAAGGTAGGGAATGACTTCAGTCAAGTGAAAAACCTCTCAGACAAGTGTGAAGTAGGGAAGGCATGTCCAAAGGTCAGAGAATAAGGACTAGAGGCTTAGCAATACATGTCAGACTCTTGGCTAAGGACAGGCACTTAGTGTCTTATTTTAAGGTGCTCTCATCTCAAATCATCTCAGGCAAATAGGACAGGAAACTTTGATTTGTAGGGATAGGACTGAGAAAAGGGCAGGAGACAGCAATTTTATTGGGTGTATCTGTCTTCTCCTGTCTCCTAGAGAAGAGAAACCCTGGGAGGGCCAATGACTTCCTTAGCCTGGGGTGGGAAGGTTAATGGCCAGTGGATTGTAAGTAGCTAAAACAATATGATGGTCCAAGGAAAAATGTGAAAACAACTTTGTCTCCTTGTTTAGGATGGTTATATGAAAGAAGGAGGTACTAATCTGCACAAGGCATCTTGTGCAGGAGAAATGGCTTCAAAGAGCCATTGGAAAATGGGTATTTGGGGGATTTTATTATTCTGTTAAAGATGATCTAAATGGTCCATCAATATAACATATCAACTAAATAGTGTTTTTTATATGTGTCTCTATCAACTTTTTCTTAGTTATGCAGGTAATAAGTCAATATATTCTTATTTAAAAACTCAAATAATATGAAAGTGTACAGATTGGAAGCTAGATCTCTTCATCACCATTTCACCTCTCTGCCCCTTCTGATCCCCTGTCTCTTTTTAGCAGTAGCCACCATCAGCATTTCACATTCTTCCATTTCTTTTTTTTCCCACCCACCCCCTCAGTATTTCAATATACCTTCCCTGGCAAATACCCAATCCTAGGAGACCAGGGATAAGAGGAGCACCAGAAACAATGAAAACCTTAGAAATCATCCACTGATCAACTTGGTACCAGTTATCTTTTTTTTTTAAAGTTTATTTATTTATTTTGAGAGAGACACGGTGTAAGTGGGGGCGGATTAGAGAGAGAGAGAGAGAGAGAGAATCACAAGCAGACTCCATGCTGCCAGTGTAAAGCCTGACTTGGGGCTTGAACTCATGAACCCACAAGATCATGACCTAAGCCGGGTCAGATCGCTTAACCAAGACTCAGACGCTTAACCAACTGAGCCACCCAGGCACCCCTGCTGCCAATTATCTGTAAAAAAAAAAAAAAAAAAGTTGAAAAGTGCAAAGAATCATTCCCTTGTGGGGTCATGATGTATATGCTTTTAGGAGCTAACCTATTCTACAACCTGAACACTGCTAGGAGGTAGGCAGAAACTCTGGGAAGAAGAATCAATCAAACTGATTAACTTTATTATTCCCATGGGGAGCTATTTCTCTAAAATAATTATTCTGTGAGTAACATCAATCCCAGAAGATTTTCAAATGAAGTTGTTTTAAAACTGTTGTGTCAAAACACAAAACAGCACAAAACAAAACAAAAACACACGGTTGTTAAAAAAAAAAAAAAAAAAAAACCACAAAACTGTTGTGTTGACAAGAAGAGAAAGAGAGTATATATGATTGATATCCATCTTCAGAGAATGAGTAAAGTCTGGGGGAATGTGCTTCTATTACTTTACCAACACTTAGGCCTAGCAGAAACACAAGACACTGTGGGCAGAGATTAGGCTTCTGGGTTGTGTTATCATCATGGCATTGTTTCAGGTGGAAAAATAAAACTCATAATCCACAGTGGGCTTCCAAACCAGTGTATTTGGTAGACCCCACAATTCTCGGAGAAAATGCACTCTGAAAGGCAGGAACCACATCCTGCTGGTCTACAAAATGTTTTTCAGGGGCAGGAGGTGGCATCTGGGTGGCTCAGATGGTTAAGCATCTGACTTCGGCTCAGGTCATGATCTCAGAGTTTGTGAGTTTGAGCCCACATTGGGCCCTGTGCTGACAGCTTAGAACCTGGAGCCTGCTTCAGATTCTGTCTCCCTCTCTCTCTGCCCCTCCCCTCACTCATGGTCTGTCTCTGTGTCTCTCAAAAGTAAGTAAATGTTTAAAAATTTTTTTTAAAGAAATGTTTCTCTGGGTTTTCTATTCAGCACTTGCGGATATCATTCAAAGTCTGTGCATTGACTCTAACAGGTACCATTTTATTTTCAATGTTAGAGCAATGCGTGACACAGAGTGTGGCCTCATGGTATATGTTTGTTGCTCAGTTGTGGCCCCTTGTCACTTAGCCCCATTACTGCTTAGTAAATGTTTGTGCGGCTATAGAATTTAAGACACCCTAAATTAAGTAAAGGGTCCCAACACTTTCCAAGAGATGGTCAAGGCCCTTTCAGCAGCCCACAGCATGGACAACTGAGATGCTCCTTGGAGGCAGGATTGCCTGGTAGGAAATCACATGGCTCTGCAGCTAGAGATCCTGGCCCCCCGTCCTGACTCTGACACCTGCTGAGTGATCTTGGTCAAGTTACTTACCTCTTTCTGAACTTCAGTTTCTCTCATGTGGAAAAATGGCTAGAATAGTAATATTTTCCTGATAGAGTTGCTATGAGGATTGAATGAGATCGTGCCTAGAAGCACTTGGTGCACAAGTGCTCAATAAATAAAAACATCTCTCAAACTTTATCGCGAACTTTCTGTTTTTGTGAAGTTACTACAACATCTTCAGAAGGAAATGTTTTGTGTACGGTGGTATTCTAGAGGCTGCTGGTACGTAGAGGCTGAATATAAAGTCTGAAATGTTAATCCTTTTTTCTACATGGTTGTTCCATATGTAAGTACATGAATTGAGTACCGCTGTGCCTCAGATTCTCCTCACGCTCCACTCATATTCCAGTCCTGAGATTCCATGAGTTACTGTCGTGATAGGATTAGTCTCCCCTGGCGACAAGTTAGGTTCCTAATTTTCTCATTTCTATTACAGTTTTATACCTGCAGTAGAATTCAAGGAAAAAGGAAGGAGAGGCAAAGCAATACACTTTGCTGAAATTGATGGTCCAGCTTCGGACAGGTACCGTCCCTTCCCAGCTGTGTCAGTGCTGCTGATAGAACCTCTCAGCAGAATGTCTCAAGTGTTTACAAACTCTAAGAAAATATCATTCCCATTTTCTGAGGTTGAAATGCAAATACCCATTAGGAAGGAACATGTACCTATTTCATAATTATGGCAGGAGTTATAATAGCACTTGTAAATGTATCCCTGTGATAATTTGGCTCTTAGCAAATTTTCAACATTTTATACTTTAAAAAACATTTTTTTTTAATATTTTTATTTATTTCTAGGAGAGAGAGAGAGACAGCATGAGCAGGGGAGGGTCAGAGAGAGAGGGAGACACAGACTCTGAAACAGGCTCCAGGCTCTGAGCTGGTAGTCAGCACAGAGCCCGACGCAGGGCTCGAACCCACGAACCACGAGATCGTGACCCAAGCGAAAGTCGGACGCTTAACCGACTAAGCCACCCAGGCGCCCCTAAAAAACATTTTTTTTACTTTATTTTGAGAAAGAGTGTGTGTTGGAAGATAAACAGGGGAGAGGCAGAGGGAGAGAGGGAGAGAATCTCAAGCAGGCTCCATGCTCAGTGTGGAGCCTGACATGGGGCTTGATTCCAGGACCCTGGGATCATGGTTTGGGCCGACACCAAGAGTCGGACACTCAACTGACGGAGCCACCCAGGCACCCTTACCCTTTTTTAAAAATCTGGAAATGGTAGCAAGACCATAAATGAATTATCTTAATAGATGATCTAAATGATCTGTTTGGGATGGAATTGACATTCACATTTTATATCAGGTAGTGTGCATTTCTCCTACCCCTAACATGGTAAGTAGGATGTTTAACAAAATGCATTCCAAAATTCTCCTTACTTTATAGTAAAAGCCTCATGCATCTCAGGATCAATTACGTATAATTAAAACATTTCAAGCCACTTCTAGAGACTGTTCTATTCCAAAACAGGTTGACCGATAAAAAGTTTGCTTCAAGAGACGATAAATCACCTAAAGCCTTAGAGAAGCGAGGTCAGCAGGGCAATGTGACACTCCATGATGCTAAATGTGAGTAACGGGTTTGTCATCTTCACATACCGTGTCGGGGGTGAACCTCTGAGGCAGCCCATGGTCCCTCTTTCAATTGTCTATCTTCACTCCTTTCAGTTGTTGCTTTGTTTTTACTACAAGATACTGAGATGCAGCGGATCTGTTCTTTTACAACGTTTATGAGGTATGTAATGCTCGAGACATTTTAGATTTTTTATCCTTAATTTGAAGTAATTCTGCCTGATAAATGATGAACAAATCTGGATTTTGAAAAAAGGGTATGGGACTGGCTCTGCCATCCCCTCAGACTGAGACCAAAGAGAGGAAACCAGAAGTCCCAGCAGCCCAGAATAAAGCCCCAGGGCAAGGAGAATGGGGAGCGTGTTGTCAGGAGTCCCACTGAGACTACATTATGTGCATATAATAGAGGGTGTACTCGTTCACTGAAGACCTGCTTTCTCCATGTTTGGAGCTCCAGCAAGTAGTAGGTGTGTGACTCGGCGAAGCTTCTTGACCTTTCAGAGCCTGTTTCCTCAGATACAAAATCGGAAGTCATCGTGTCTCCCTAAGGCTGTGGGTGGAGGGTGCTTCTCATGGCACCACACTCGTGCATGCTCAGTGAGAAGTACCCAACTCTGATTGGCAGGCCTCTCAGAGCCCCTTGCATTCAGTGAAGGCTGTTTGTGGCAACACCAGAGGCCTTATTCCACAGCAGGCGCACGCTCAGCCTGACCATAGGGCAGGCTGGGAGCACTGAGGAGGCAGTGTCCCAGAAGCAGCCTTCAGTCAGTGTGTGCCAGGAGGGAGTGTCGGTAGAAAAATATCCTAATTTTCATCTGTCAAGATAAGTCTGAGAAATTTTCCCCCACAGGACTGAACTGCATTTGTCCACGGGGATAACCAAGTGTTAACACCCCCGTTATGGGCTTCCTTCCCTTTCCTGTCTTACTTCCCTACCCCACTACTGACGTTTCCTGTGCGCACATCCCAAGTCTTTGTCTCAGTCTGTTTCTGTGAGAACTCAACCTAGGACAGGGACATATTAATGTTGTTTGAAAAAAAATCTGCAATGCCCACGGTCATCCTGTTGTCAAGGTATAGTTGAAGAAAGAATGTCGGTATGAATTTCCGTTTGCTAGAAAGAAAGTAGCAAAAATCTTGTAAAAGTATTTAGAACGAAGACAAAGACCTCTAGTTTTTCCACTTAGGACTGCCTTTGCTGCATCCCAAAGTAGTTTTAAACAAATTAGATAGGATTGTGAATCAGTGCAACCTTTTCCTAGAACAAAACTATGCAACTTTAGTATGCTCTACACTATGCCTTAGCAATTTCAGTCCTAGGAAGTTACTCAGAGACATGGCCATCAGGATAATTACTGCAGCGGTATCGACAATATTTCTAAAAGACCTACATATCCATCAATAGAGGACTAGTTAGGGGTGCCTGAGTGGCTCAGTTGCTTAAGCAGCCGACTTCGGCTCAGGTCATGATCTCACGGTTTGTGGGTTCAAGCCCCGTGTCAGGCTCTGTGCTAACAGCTCAGAGCCTAGAGCTTGCTTCAGATTCTGTGCCTCCCCCTCTCTCTCTGCCCCTCACCTGCTTATACTCTGTCTCTCTCTCTCTCTCAAAACTAAATAAACATTTAAAAAAGTAGAGGACTAGTTAAATAAGTTATGAGTTATAGAATATCTTACCCAGCTGTTTGAAAGAATGAGGAAAATTGATCCATAGTATTAAGGAAAGAGGTCCATGCCAAACATGTAGTTGCAGAGGCAAGTTGCAAAGACTTGTGTGTATAGCATTATTTTCGGTGTTACCAAAGAAGACTTTAAGTCATATACTTATACTATATGTACGTGTGTTGGTGGGAGAGGACCTTCTATGTAATTGTGCTGTCGAAAGTTTAGAAAGGCTTCATGCCACTCTTAGCAGTGGCTGCTACGGGGAAGTAGGATGATAGCATGGGAGGGAGAGGACTTTTTACTTTACACATTTGTGTACCTTTTTTAAAGAGTGGAAAAATATTATTTATAGCATAAAACTTACTAAAAAGGAAAACTAATTAATAAACAAAACTATAATTTAGTGTGTGACCTCCCAAAAAGTTTTGGTTACAAAAATCTGATTTCTTACATCTTCAATAGTATAGTAGAATTTTAAAGTTGTTGTTGTTGGGTTTTTGTTTTTTGTTCTTTTTTGAAAGAGAAGGCACACATGTGCAACCAGGGAGAGGAGAGAGAGGGAGAGAGAGAATACTAAGCAGGCTCCTCACAGTCAGCAAGATGTGGGACCTGATGAGACCATGACCTGATCATGATCACGAACCATGAGATCATGACCTGAGCTGAAATCAAGAGTTGGACGCTTAACCAACTGAGCCACCCAGGCGCCCCAGTAGATAGAATATTAAATAGTAAGTTAGTTGTGTGATAGGCATGATAACATGTACTTCTTCTTATTTTTATGTCATGTGCCCATGTATTTTTATGAGAAGTTTTATGTTTGAAATATGTTAACATTCATTTCTTTCTTTCTTTCTTTTTTTAAACTCTCTCCATAGGAATAAGAATCTGGACCATTTCCTCATGGCATTATTGTACTATTTATCTCATTACTTGGAAAAAATAGCCCTGGAAAAGAAACCCAAAAGCTATATGGTGTAAGTAGGACTTTGCAGTGCACTGTAAAGTTTTATCATTGCCAGTACTAAAACTGACTTTTTTCTTTCAAGATTTTATTTAAATTCAAATTAGTTAACATATAGTGTAGTATTCGTTTCAGGATCAGAATTTAGTGATTTATTACTTACATATAACACCCATTGCTTATCACAAGTGCCCTCCTTAATGCCTGTCACCCATTTGGCCCATCCCCTCACCTACCTCCCCTCCAGCAACCCTCAGTTTGTTCTCTTTAGTTAAGAATCGCATATGGTTTGTCTCCCTCTCTGTTTCTCTCTTATTTTATTTTTCCTTCCCTTCCTCATATGTTCATCTCTTTCATTTCTTAAATTCTACATAGGAATGAAATCTGTTTGTCTTTCTCTGACTGACTTATTTTGCTTAGCATAATACACTCTAGCTCCATCCACATCATTGCAAATGGCAAGATTTCATTCTTTTTGATGGCTGAGTAATAGAGATGATGGAAATTTAAAAATTTTTGGAGTCTACTAAAATATTTACATGGGAGGAATTCATTAGTTTTTTGGGTTTTGTTTGTTTGTTTGTTTTTATTTCTGAGAGGGAGACAGCGTAAGCAGGGGAGGGTTAGAGGGAGAGGGAGACAGAATCTGAAGCAGGCTCCAGGTTCTGAGCTAGCTGTCAGCACAGAGCCCGACATGGGGCTTGAATCCACGAACGGTGAGATGACCTGAGCCAAAGTCAGACACTTAACTGACTGAGCCACCCAGGCGCCCCAGAAATCATTAGTTTTTAAAGCTCACTGAATAATTCAGATAGTCATTCTAACAACAGAATATCCCAGATAATATAGACCAGCACTGCCCAGTAGAAATATAATGAAAGTCACATATGTAATTAAAAGTTTTTCAGTAGCTAGATTTAAGAAATGTAAAAGATAAAGGTGGGGGTGCCTGGCTGGCTCAGTCAGTAGAGCACACAACTCTTGATCTCAGTGTCATGAGTTCGAGTCCCATATTGAACATAGAGATTACTTAAAAATAAAATATCTATAAAAAGATAAGGGGGAAGTTAATTTTAATAATGTATTTTATTTAATGCAATGACTCAGAAATGTCATTGCAACATGTAGTCAATATTAGGAAGTTATTGATGACATACTTTACTTTTTTTTTGTAGTAATTCTTTGAAATCTGATGCTTACAATTTCTTCAATTCGGATTAACCACAGTTAGTGCTTACTGGCAACAGGTGGCCCATGGCAACTGTGTTGGACAGTGCAGATACAGATATTTGGTTTTATGCTTATAAAGTTCTTGCTAGGGCTTTTGGAAGCATCTAATGAAAAAAACTAAGAATAAAGAAAATTAATAGATATGACCAAAATGATATTCCATATTGCAGAAGAAAACAAGATTTCTTAGGCTACATAGGAAGAATTTCACTGCTTTAGGCAGAGGTGGCTCAGAGCCCTATGGGGCAAGAATCCGGGAACTCCAAGTCCAGAGGAGAACAATGCCTCTCAGGCTCGGTGACCTTTTGCAAACCATGGAACTTTCCAAGTGCCCAGGCTGCCCTCCCTAGTACGTGTGGAATCAACTCAATGATTTAGCTGTTAGAAATACTGGTCGAGTCATCAATCTGTTGCTGTGGAATGCTTTTAAAATGCAAAATCCTTGTGTATGACCAGTTTGAAAAACATTTTATGGATAGATAAGTGTATCTCGGCAGCAGTTTTGTAAAGAACCAAATAAATAACTCAAACATTGCTGATCCAGTAAAGCCATCAGAATATACCACATCCATGTTATTTCAAAGTTGCATTTCACAGCAGAGCGGCCAGAGATCATGCAGGGTTTCTACAGTGATAAGGAAAAGGGCTCAGCTAGCTGTAGACTCAGAAGGTTTGGGGGACTTGTCGTCCCCCCAGAAGAACTTATCAGACTTTGGTAGCACATTCGCTTATACTGTATGTGATGTTTTCTAATTCTGAGAGTTACTGCTACTCTAGCAGACATTTCTTTCATTTCTTAATTTATAGAAATGGGTAACAGAGAAAAAAGGTTTCTTGGTTGTTTTTAAAATACACTAAAAGTTATTAGAGCACAGTGGAATAAGGTAGACTTTTTTAGAAGGAATCAGTTACAGATGACAGAAAAATCCAAATCTTAAAATGATTGATTCTGTGGGGTGCCTGAGTGGCCCAGTCAGTTAAGCGTCCGACTTCGGCTCCGGTGATGATCTCCGGGTCATGGTAGTATCCACTTTACAGAGTTATCATCTAGATATATGAGATAATGCATATTATCTTAAACCAGAGGCTGCCACTCGGGAGGAAAGCCTTCAACCTGTGGGGGGAGAACTGAAAGCGCTACAGAGGTATACTTCAGTGGGTTTAGACAACTAAAAAAGCCCCAACTCCAGAGGACGGAGCCTTTTCCCCATTTTACAGATGAAGAAGCCAAGGCTCAGAGAGGCTAAGTAGCTGGTTGGAGATGACACACCTAGTTGGGGGTGGGGCTGAGATGAGAGCCCAGATCTAACTCCCAGGCCCCCGGCTAAGCCACTGAGCCCTGTGTCCACACCCCTGCCAGTGAGCTGAGCTCTCTTATACAGAATTTATCTGTTTGTACTTAGGATTTGTGCTGTCTGAAGAAAGGCAAAACTATGTAATTTTTACTTTTTTTAAAGTTTATTTATTTATTTTGAGAGAGAGTAAGCAGGAGGGATGGGGAAAGAGAGAGAGAGAGAGAGAGAGAGAGAGAGAGAGAATCCCAAGTAGGCTCTGTGCTGTTAGCAGGGCTTAAGCTCACAAACTGCAAGATCATGACCTGAGCCGAAATCAAGAGTCGGACAGTTCACCCACCGAGGCATCCAGGCACCTCCAAATGTAGTTTTTAAAGCATTGTAAGCATTTTTCAAGTTATTACAATCTTCATAATTATAATTTTTAATGGTGGCATAACTTTCCATCAAGCTTATGTGTGTTATTGACTGACTTATCTATTAAGAGCTAGTATAGCGCTAATACTGGTTAAGGGTATGGACTTTGGTGCTCGAATAAATCCTATGGGACTCATATGTTAAGTTAATAAATGTCAAGTCCTTAAATGGCACCTGACTGTATTACTACAGTCTGCATTACTACTTCTTTTTCCCCTCCATTTTATATATTTTTGGGAGTTGCCAGTTTTCCTAATAGACAAATAGATAATAATTGAATATTATTGAATATCTTTATGCATTAGATTTCCTCCTTAATTTTGGATAATTTTTAAAGTTTATTTATTTATTTTGAGTGAGAAAGAGAGAGCACGCATGTCGGAAAGGCAGAGAGGGAGAAAGAGAATTCCAAGCATCCTCTGCACTGCCAGCATGAAGCCTGATACAGGGTCTGAACCCACAAACTGTGAGATTATGACCTGAGCCAAAATCAAGATTCAGACACTCAACTGACTGAGCCACCCAGGCACCTCTGGATAATTTTTTTAAGAAGGATAAATTTCTAGGAGAGATTATCGGACCCAAGTTTATGATCAATTATATGGTATTTGAAATTATCAATTTTTTCCCCCAAAGGATTTTACCTGGGCTTGTTTTAAATGCCAGACTGTATCCAGACCTGCTAAGTCAGATCTTGGAGAGGGGGTGGCGTTAGGAATCTGCACTTTTAGCAAGTATCCCAGACGATTCTTGCTTACATTTAAGCTCTGGAACCATTGGCCTAAAAGTTTCAAGGTGTTTTTGTTGTTGTTGTTTTGTTTTCAACAGAAAAGAGGCATATTAGCTACTGGCAGCCCTGGAAAAGTTGGGGTAAAGGGTGAGGGTGGGGGGCTGCTGAAGGAAGCAGGGGGCAGGCATAGTCATGGCCATTGAGGTGCAAGTGGGTGTGGGTGTAGGTGTTTGGGTTATTTGAAATTTGGGCATTTAAAGTTGGAACTCCATTTATTCCATAAACTCATTTTATTCCAGTGACGTACAAGCCTTCTTATCACATGTGATAACATGTTGTGCTTTGAAATACCTCGATTATACCCCTTCCTCCACAGCATATCCTCCTGTGGTCAGTCAGTCTCATAGTTAACATCAGAAGGGGCAGTAATTCATCCCTGTTGTTTAGAGTGCATTTCATTGGGTTTAAATCTTTCTGAAAGTGAAAAGGCAGATAAAAAGCCAGTGACACTTCACTTTTCAATAGCAATCATTGGAATATGTGGTTAGCAATATTGTTCTCTACTCGGCTGTACTGCAAAAACTTCTAAAATTAGGCTCCAGACATGCTGTAACAGGTTGTCTTTTGGAAACGTTTATTTGCAGTTCAATTGGAACTGGGGCAGTGTTTTCACAGGAAAGCGAGTCTATTATAATTGATGCCAAAGCTCCCAGATTAGTGCTCCGCACATGCTTCCTCAGCAAGCGCAGACTGAGAGTACGGAGCCGTTGAGTGGTTCAAACACTGAGCCTTCAAGCTTCCTAGTAACATCAGGAATCCAGGGGAAGCTGACCGGGGAAGAGTCTCCAGTAGCTCTTTCAGCAAAACTGCAGGAAAATGGGCTGCCAGCTGCCTCAGAAACCAGTGTAGGTAATTGGTTAGTTGGGCTGTTGGGCTGTTCTGTGTAAATTAGGACTGCCTGTGTGTAACATTAGAGATACATAGCATAAAGAATCTACAAAAAAGTGAAAACTCACCATGAACCCGAGATGTTAATTACAAAGATAAATATCAAAGCCATCCCTCTGCCAAAGCTCAGATCAGCTAAAGGGTAAGTGACATATGCTGACTCACTTGTATCTCTTTCAAATTAGTTTACATTTCTGACTTTGTGCTGATTAATGTTGGCATTTGCCAAAATTAATCCAAATGACTGGTTTCTTTTCAGGGGCCTTGTAGAGAAAAAAGAGATGGAATTGGTTATGAGGAAGTTAGAAGCAGCACAGAAATACCTGGCCCAGAAGTACTGCATCCTCGTCCTGGGCATGGGAATGCCCGAGAAGCATCACATGTGCTGCGGGAAGTAAGTGCACACTGACCATCTCGTGAGATCTTCACTTTGTGTGTATCTATATCCTCAAGACCTTTATATTTGACCTTTGGAGCCCTTGCGAAAGTTTCCTTTTCTGTTGTACAGAAAAATGGGGCTCAGGTGAGACTGCCCCAAATGCGTGTGATGTCTTGTTTGAGAAAGCCAAGTGAGTGTGGGAAGAATCACAGAATCTACACTGCTTAGGTTTAAAAGACTTTTCTCTCAGTATCTACTGGCTCAGTAGAATCTTGCTGTCAACCTGGAAGGCTTCCTGGGGCCGGCCAGGGTCTCCATGGCTTCCTGGGACGGGAGGCTGGGTGATGGGCCAGTGTTACAGGTGTGTCCCCTGCCCTTCCGCTGCTCATTTTGTAGCAATAGTAATGGGTGCAAACTAGTAAGGTGGGGGTTATAAGATGATGTGGTTTGTGGGGAGATAATCTTTGCCTTAGAAGGACAGTTTATGTATTACTGTAATTAAAATTTATTTTTTTAAGTTTATTTATTTAGAGAGAGATTGAGAGAAAGAGAAAGAGAGTGTGTGTACATGTGCACACACACAGGCAGGGGAGGGGCAGAGAGAGAGGGAGAGAAAGAATTCCAAGCAGACTCTATGCTCTCAGTGTGGAGCCCAACTTGGAGCTCGATCTCATGAACCATGTGATAATGACCTGAGCCAAAATCAAGAGTCAGGTACTTAACTTACTGAGCCACCCAGGTGCCCTCTTTAATTAAAATTTAAAAGCATCTTATCACAGGAGAGTTTGGAGGTATTAGAGAGAAAACTCTGATCCTTAAACACCACCCCACCTCGGAAATCTCCTTCTCTGAGCAGTTTCATAACAGGCTCAGAAGCCATACCACGGCCATGGCCCAAACTAAAGGAAAAGAACACAATTCATGGGTTCTCTCTGCATCTCCCACATTTTCAAGATACAGAGATTTCTGTATGCTTTATATTCTACATTTTCTGTGTCCCTTATTCTCTTATTCTGCTTATTACATCATTTCATCTACCACTTTGAATAGCAACTATAGTTACTCTACCGTGTAACATACCAGTTTGCTTCAGCGTTCCTTCTATGCATGCTTATTACGTGGTTTCAGTTTTTCTGCTTCGCGACATTTCTGCATTGGATATCTTTACATAAACCACTTTGTCCATTTGGGATACTTACTTATGGCGTATTGCCCAGAATGTATTTACCTAGAAACCATGAATAGTTTTCTAGCTCTTGTTACATGTTGCCAGATTGTTCTCCAGAAAGGTTAAGCCATTTTGTATCACCATCAGCAGTAAGCATACCTAGCTCTATTAGTTTGATTTTTTTCGTAGCTTATAGTTGTATAAAAAGCTTACAGCTATTTTATTTGACTTTTGAATATCTTTCATGACTTTGGAGTCTGGACTCTTTTTCTGCATAAAATAATTTATTGCCTGTTTATTATATTAATTATTTAATTATTGCCTCAGCTAGTTTTAACCATTTATCAAGTGGAACCTGGATGTTTGTATAACTTATGTTTCATATAGCAAGGACTGGCTAATTGTTTTTCTAGTTTGTTGCTTTCCTTTTGATGTTTATGTGTTTACACATTATGAAAATGTTAAGAATTTTTGTTTACTTGAACATTTCTACCTTGTGTTTTTTATTTTAAAAAATGTTTTAAATGTTTATTTTTGAGAGAGAGACAGAGACAGAGAGAGTTGGGGAGGGGCAGAGAGCGAGGGGGACAGAGGATCCAAAGCAGGCTCCTTGCTGACAGCAGAGAGCTTGATGCGGGGCTTGAACCCACAAACTGAGCTGAAGTCAGACACATGAACACCTGAGACACCCAGGTGCCCCTCTATTCAAGTCATATAAGTTCATCATCAGCTTTATAGTGTCCTATTCAATCACTTGTAAAATTTCTTTTTCTCTACATTGCTCTCATTTCTTCTGTCTGTAAATTGTCACTTCACATTGAGAAAACTAGAATCTGCGGCTTGTATTAGTCAGCTTGGACTGCCATAACAAATTACCCCAGACTGAATGCCTTAAACATCAGAAATTTATTTTCCCATAGTTCTGGAAACCCGAGGTCAGGAGGCCAGCCTTGTCGAGTTGTGGAGGGCCCTCTTCCTGGCTTGCAGACAGCTGCCTCATTGGTGGAAAGAGGAAGCCCTAGTCTCTCCTTCTTCTCTTTTTTAAAGTGTTTATTTACTTTTGAGAGAGAGAGCACACTTGAGCAGGGGAGGGACAGATAGAGGGACACAGGACTGGAAACCAGAAACGGGCCCCCTGCCAATAGCAGAGAGCCCAGAGGGCCCAATGAGGGGCTTGATCTCACAAGCCCTGAGCTGAAGTCAGATGTTTAGCCAACTGAGTCACGCAGGTACCTTCTCTTTTCTTGAAAGGACACTAATTCCTCATGGGGCTCCACCCTCATGATGTCATCTGAACCTAATTACTAAGACTCTCCCTCCAAATGTTATCACAGTGGGGGTTGTTAAGGCTTCAACATATGAATTTGGGGGTGCAGCTGGGGAGACACAAACCTTCAGTCTACAACAAAGTTTTAAAAAACACCTCTAAAAAATAATTGAATTCCCAACATTTAATGTTTAATCTTTAAAAGCATATGTGCAGGGGTGCCTGGGTGGCTTAGTCGGTTAAGCGTCCGACTTTCGCTTAGGTCATGATCTCGCAGTTCGTGGGTTCGAGCCCCGCGTCGGGCTCTGTGCTGACTGCCAGCTCAGAGCCAGGAGCCTGTTTCAGTCTGTGACTCCCTCTCTCTCTGACCCTCCCCTGCTCACGCTGTCTCTCTCTCTCTCTCCTAGAAATAAATAAAACATTAGAAATTTAAAAAAAAATAAAAATAAAAATAAAAGCATATGTGCAGTTCAGACTAATTTTGAGATGAAAAAAACCCAAACTATAAATAACAATATCATAATTAGAGAATTTATCATATCTTTTAGTTCTCTGCATATAGAACCTACACTTAAGTTATACTATTTTTCTTAAGATAAATTCTCTCTTTTTTTTTAATGTTTAATTTTGAGAGAGAGAATGCAAGTAGGGAAGGGGCAGAGAGAGAGGGAGACACGGAATCTGAAGCAGGCTCCAGGCTCCAAGCTGTTAGCACAGAGCCTGACTTGGGGCTTGAACTCACAAACCGCAAGGTCATGACCTGAGCTGAAGTCAGAGGCTTAACTGACTGAGCCACCCATGCGCCCCAAGTTATTATACTTTAATGGTACATTTTTATTACACTGTAATCCTTATACAAACTTTAAAAAATCTCATTATGTTTGAAAGATAGCAATTGCCTCTGTTTGGCAAGAGCTAATCTCCAGGAGGTGCTGGTCTTTTTGCAACACCACCTGCTTTTCTCCTGGCTGTCAGATAGCAGTTTGGAGAAGAATCCAGTTAGAGCGTACCACCCACCATTCACATAGCAGATTCCATACAGGTCAAAGAGCCAAACAAAGGATACTGAGGCAAACAGATTACAGCATGTTTTTGCCAGTAAAAGTTGTTAATTGGCCCTGGGTGTTGATTATGTCGTCCAGTGGGGTTGATACTGTTCTTCGACTGTTTTATGAAGAAGATGAGGACAGTTTTTGCCAGTCAAGTGATTACCTGATTTTAACATATCATTATTTCACTTCCAATGTGAATAAGCTCATATTCTCACAAGAATATTCTCATGTGTATTTTCTGACTTTTTCCTCTAATATATGCACACTTAATACTGGACTAGGACATCTTACGCTATTTGTCTCTGAAGTTAAAGACTTCAGAAGAACCAGCAATTTGGGGGCTGTTAATTTAGTGCTTTCATGTTTCTTGAAAAGTAGGAGGACATACTTTTCTATTCTAAATACATCTGTAAAAGCCTAGTATCGAAAAAGCTTTGGCACAGTTTTGATGAACATATTCAGTAAAAGATCTCTGTGTTTTCCAAGATAGATAAGAAAGCCTCTCTCGATGTGGCACATGCCATAGAATCAGATGTATTCTTTGGTTGTGGCTAATTTGGACTCCACCCCCATCTATACCCTAGGATTTCTACCTCTCTCCTTTGCCACTGGCACCTGGTGGCTGACCAGAGAGGCTGGTGCGTGGATGAGCATAAAGATAAGGGGTTTCCTTAAAGCTCAGTCTATAAATCATCCTTAAGCCCTATTCCTTACTTCCACCACCCCCTCCCATCTCTCCCCCCAGTCACATGTAATAAGGCCTCTTTCCCCCCTCCCAAATGCATTCCTTTTATATTTCCCTTCCTTTGTGCAGAGTAGCCCTTGACCTTCATTTAAACCTGATTTCACCCAAAGCAGCAGGGGGGATGGGAACATAACATAACATAAGTGGGAATCATAGCTTTTCTTCTCTCAGGACCAGAACCCCATGGGTTTGGCCCTAGGCTTTTTTTTTTTTTTTTCCCCAGGAATGACTAAAAATATGATATACTTTCTTCATTTGGGCTTAGAGCTGAGAGTCTAATGTAGCAAGAAGGAATAAGAAAGCATAATAATAGGCCACTGAAAATCTCTGGCTTTATCACCAAGCTGCCTTTCCCCTCTTTCCTTTGGAGTGTGCCCTCACAGATGAAATGTGTAGCATTTTTGCTGACTAGCCTGGTAGCCACTTGCCACATGTGGCTATTGAGCCCTTGGAATGTAGCTGGTCCATATTTAAAGGTGTTATAAATGTAAAATATATACTATACAAAAAAGAGACAAGAGAGGGAGACAGAATCCCAAGCCATCAGTGCAGAGCTTGATGCAGGGCTTGAACTCACAAACCATGAGATCATGACCTGAGCTGAAATCAAGAGTTGCTTAACTGACTAAGCCACCTAGGTGCCCTGCACTTGCTCTCATAATAAATAAATAAATAAATAAATAAATAAATAAATAAAAACACAAGCAAGCAAAAACAGATTCTCTCTTTCTTCTCTCCCTCTGCCCTGCTTGCATTCTCTCCTTGAAAGAAACAAAAGAAAGAGAGAAAGAAAGGAAAGAAAGAGAAAGGAAACCACACAGATTACATTTGTGGCTTGCATTATGTATCTGTTGGGTTTTGCTATTATAGACCCTACTTTGGCTCAGGTCGTGATCTCACAGTTCGTGAATTCGAGCCCTGCATTGAGCTCTGTGCTGATGGCTCAGAGCTTGGAGCCTGCTTCAGACTCTGTGTCTCCCTCTCTCTCTTCCCCTCCCCTGCTCATACTCTGTCTCTCTCTCAAAAATAAATGTTAAAAAATTTTTTTATACTCTATTTCAATTTGTGGAGGATTTGGAGTGTTTAAATTTGTTATTTATATTAAAATGTTAAATTTATAATCAGTTTATAATTACTATATACTTAATAATATAAAAATTATGAAATAAAATTAAAAAGAAAAACGACTCAAAATTCACCAAGAGATGAATTTGCCGATTAAACTAGGAGGGTCCTAAATGTGCCCATTCTCTGCCTGCATTTCCTGGACTCATTTCAGGTTTATATGCGGAGCTAAATCAGAATGGTAAGAAGCCCATTACCTTCTGTACTTGATTTGCAGCTGGTGTAGGCTACATCAACTTGCTTTGGGCTTTAAGGGAGAAAGAAGTCCCAGTTTTATGGCAACTTGAGGGGAAGGGGAAGAGTTTCACGGTATTTCTCTTCTAATGTTTAAAAAGAGAAGAGGAGAAAGTGTATGTTTCCTGCTCAATCCCTCTATCATTTCAAAACCTCACTAAGATGGTGCTGGTTTGAGTTATACAAACGTTAAGTGCTGCTCTCAGCCTTCTCCCAGAAGCCAAGCTGACTTGGTATTCCAGAAACTGAGTCTGGTGGGTTTGTACTTCAGCTGGGCAGGGCTGCATGGTGTCTGGTTTCAGTGGGCAGGGCCTCAGAAGGGTAGAAGGTGCCACAGGAGCACTCCTGTCAGGTGGAGGCTTCAGGCTGAGGTCTGTCCTGAAAGCTTTTGCTGCACTCTGTAGTTTCATGTTTTTAATCTGCAAAATATTCTAAAGGAAAAGCTTGTTTCCCTAGCATTTTGGTTACAGGGACAGTGGTGGAGATCTGACAGGCCCAAGTTCTAGTACAGCCTCTGTTCCTAGTTAAATATGTCTTTGGACTACAGTCTCCTGAACTGTAAAGTGGGAATAATAATTCTGACTACACCATAGGGATCTTACGAGGACTAAATATGAGGATGTAAATGGCTTAGCATAGTGCTTGCCACATAGTCCGTACTTAGTGCATGTTCACTGTATTTATTACCTTGGCTCCTTGATGAAGACTTGCACACTGGGATGCCAGTGTATGAATGAAGATGCTGTGGGAGGGGAGGGGTCCACCTCAGGAAAAGCCGAACCAGTTCTTCAGTGTTTCCCTCAAATGGAGGGCTAATCTGGGCTCACACAGATTGTGTGGTCTCTGTGAGAATGCTGGAGGTCCTGAGGGATTTGAGCCCTCTTGCCCAGACTACCAGAGTTCAGGACAGTTCTTGAAAGTCTGATAACAAGGGCCAGTGCTTAGAGTCTGTTGCTCCGAAAGCAAGAAGCAGAGCAATACCAGAATCATCCTTGGAGTGGCTGGCTCTCTCCTTGACCCCCTTGAGTGATGGGGGAATAGAAGGTACGCAGCCCTCTCCATCTGTCCCCATGTCCTCCGCAGGCCACGCCTGCCCTCCTAAGCCTGGGAATCAGAATTAGAGAGGCCTGTTTGTGGGAGGGCAAATTAAGTAAGCATGTCCATGCCAGAACGGCATCCTTAACCTTGAATTTGTGTCACAAGGACTCCTGTGCAGATGCCTGCCTTTAAGAGATGAGGCTCAGCGTACCCACTGGATCCAGAAGGAAGAACATGCCGCTCTCCCCATCAACTAGACATTTAAAAAAATTTTTTATTATCATTTTTTTGGATTCTTTGTCTTTTTCTCCATTTTAGATTTACCTTCTAGTTCTTTATTTCCCTACCTACTAACACCCCATGTTATCTCCTTACCACCTTTCCACTCTCCTTACGCCCCCAACACTCACCACCAAAAATGTTCATTTCCTGCTGTCTCATTTATCCTGAATTTACATCGCTTAACACTTGAGGGGTTTTGATATAGATAACCTAAGACATTGAAGGAAAAGATACTGGGATTCATCAGTGCCTTTTGATAGCATTTATGTGGGTAAATAGCCTTGGGGCCACAGGTAATGATCCCATGGAGAGGCCTTTTAAAGACAGGGGCTTGCCCAGGTCACTGAAAGATTGAACTTCCCTCTCAGCCTATAGTTGTGCTTTTTGTATTGCAGGGAGAAAATCTCAGATACGCAAAAAGACTGGAAATTCTTTGAGGTGAGTCACTTACATTTTGGGGCTTTTCTATATGAAACATGAAGTAGACCAAGAACCAATAGCCATGTGTCAGGCACTTATTTTCAGTGAAGATCTTCTCTTAAAAGATTGCTGACAAGCTATGTGCCATCTCAAGTTTTTGGTTTGATTTGCCTCCTGCAAAGGTGAGTACATGTGTAACTTTCCAGAGCTTTTCAGGAACGTGCAGAAATTGGGTCATCAGGGTTTGCGTCTGCTTAGCAATGTTACATAGACAAGTAGGAGTTTTTACTACCGCAGCCGTGCACTGTGATTCTTGTCTGTTTTCTGTTGTAGTCCTTTTACACTTTCTGTACGTATGTAGCTTGGATTGTCTTCCGACGTCAACACTTCACAGAGATTGAAGAAGAAATAGGAAGGCTCTTTCGTACCAGTATGTTCAATACTCCTCGGAGGAAGCGTGAGGATGAAGAATTAGGAGGCGAAAAGAAACGCATGACTTTTGTACAGTTCAGGTATGATATTTTGCCTTTCCGAAGTTCAAGACCATTTCTAGGAAACAGGATGATGTAACCTAAATTTCACCTCTCCCCACCCCAGGAGAATGATGGCGAAACGCCCAGCGATTAAAAAAGCCATTAACATGCGCTCCCCAGTCATGTCTACTCTGCTGCCATCTCTCAGAGAAAAAGCTCAGAATGTCTTTGAGAAGAAGTGTCATCAAGGAGATGTCAAACTCCCAGCCCAGATGCAAGAGCACATGGAAAGTCTGGACTCTACGCTCATGCCAAAGTACGTGGCCCAAGGGGAGAGAAAGGAGAGCCCTGTGTCATGTGCTAGCTAGGGCCAGGAGGGGCAGGGGTTTAGACACCATGCCAAGGCCAGAAAGTTGAACCTAGACGAAAGCACCACCTTCCTACCCACCCTCTCCTCTCTACCTGTTTCCTTTCCCAAGCAGCTAGACTAGAAAACATTGCCCGAAAGTTATGCCAGACTTCAAATAGCTCTCATTTGGAGGCGGGAATAGCAAACTCTGTAAGCTGAGGTTTTTCCATTAGAACAATCATCTCTGGTAAGCGTGCGGGGGGCCATTACAAAATCATTTTGTGGGCTGTTTTCGGACTCCTATTTAAAATCACAGTGGTACACTTCTCGGCCTTTTGCCTAAGATCAAGTGTAAAATCACAATGGTAGTTCATGGAAATAGAAAACGTGTGTGTGTGTGTGTGTGTGTGTGTGTGTACATGTGTATGTAGCTTACCCACAGGCACACAACCACAGCCACATACCTTATTCTTTGGCCACACTGCTTCAGCTATACCAATAATTCTTTTCACAGAGTTGGCATCTTGGGGGAGCCTCGATGTCTGTTCAACCCCCATACCCTTCTTCCCCTTGAACCAGAAGAAAACACAAGAATGTCTGGGGCACATTCTTCCCTGATAGAAAGAAATAACATGCGGATCCAGGATACGCTGGACTTAGTCATGAGAACATTGTCCTCTCAAACAGCATTCCCTAAATAATCCTTGTACGTTCCATTTCTGTAAGTAAGTCCCGGTTTTTGAAGTAAACTGCTTTGACTTAATCACTTTATATAGGACTAATATTTATTATTATCACACTTTTTGAAATTGAAAAATGAAATTTTATAAAGGAAATAAAATGTTTTTAAAATTAAATCTCTTTATATTGGCTATATTATTTTTGGCATTGAGATATAAAGTACATCTGAGCCATTTGAAAGCCTTTTAGCATATGCGTTTCATTCTTTCATTTACCCATTTATCAACAGATATGTGTTAAGCCTCTGCTCTAGGTGTGCCTGGATGGCTCAGTCGGTTAAGCATATGATTTTGGCTCAGGTTATGATCTCATGGCTCATGGGTTCAAGCCCCACGTCGGTCTCTGTGCTGACAGCTTGGAGCCTGGAGCCTGCTTCCGATTCTGTGTCTCCCTCTCCCTGCTCCTCCCCACTCGCACTCTGTCTCTCTCTGTCTCTCAAAAATAAATAAACATTTTTTTAAAAAAGCCTCTGCTCCATCCAGAGCCTTGTGGTGGATTATGTAGGGAAAAGGGATCAAGACAGAGACCATATGCTCAGGTCTGGATAGTAGAGGAGATAAATAAAATACACACCTGCTCACAAGATGATTTTAAATGTGTTAGAGACCATAAAAGAGGGAAAAACCAAGTGCCCTGAGAGAACTGAGCAGAAGAGCAATCCCTTCTTGGGGGACCGGGAGCGTTCTGACTTGAATTTGGCTTTGCAGGGATTGGGTGGCACCAAAGGGGGACTTCCAGTGAAGGAAGAACACGTGCAAAAACAGAGGTGAACAAGCGTGCCCTGTGACTGAGGAAGGCAAGAGCACAGCTGGGGAGCACGCAAAGGACAGCTGAATGTTCACTAGGCAGTGAGTCGGATTTTCTCTGGCAGGCGACAGTTAGGAATCACTCAGGAAACCACTTCGCTATGTGCAATACAGAGCCGCCGGTTCTATATTACCATTTTAAAGTCCTGTAGGAGTTTAAACCCGCTAAAACACCTGGGTTGAACGAACCTTTCTGTGGTCACAAGGTTTATCCTCAAGCTTCAAAGTCCTCCTGAGGCCCCTGGGTGGCTCAGCCGGTTAAGTGTCCGACTCTAAATTTCAGCTCAGGTTATGATCTCTCAGGTTTGTGAGATCGAGCCCCACATTGGGCTCTGTGCTGGCAGCATGAAGCCTGCTTGGGATTCTCTTTCTCTCTGCCCCTCCTCCACTTGCACATGCTCTCTCCCTGTCTGTCTCTCTCTGTCTCAAAATAAATAAACATTAAAAAAATCCTCATTAGCCTTTAGCTAAAGATGCTCTCATTTCACAGAGAAAACTGGACACCTTCCCCAGATTTAATATCAAGAGCAGAGGCACATCAGCTCCAGTCTAGGGCTAACATGGGGTGGCTTCAAATACCCTGTTTTCATGCTGTTATTCTTAACCATCCAAGTCAATTCCAGTGACAACTCCCATTAAAACTGCAAAGTTTTTATCAAAATCATGGGCTATGCGCTAATCTTTCTTGGACTTTTAATTTATGTAGAGAAATTGGTTATAATACACTGTGTCATAACAAATATCTTTCTCGAATATGTTGATGTGATTTTACTTTGGGGGATTTTTTTTTAATATTTAAAATGGTTTAAAATTTTTTTAATGTTTATTTTTGAAAAAGAGAGAAAGATTGCAAGCAGGAAGAGAAAGAGAGAGGGAGACACAGAATCTGTTCATTAGGGATATTGGCCTGTAGTTCTCTTTTGTGTGTGTGTGTGTGTGGTGTGTATATCTGATTTTGGTATCAAGGTAATGCTGGCCTCATAGAATGAATTTGGAAGTTTTCCTTCTTTTTCTATTTTTTGGAATAGTTTGAGAAGAATAGACATTAACATGTTTACATGTTTGGTAGAATTTTCCCGTGAAGCCATCTGATCCTGGACCTTTGTTGGAAAATTGTTGAATACTGGTTCAATTTCTTTGCTGGTAATCAGATTGTTCAAGTTTTCTATTTCCTCCTGTTTCCATTTTGGTAGGTTGTATGTTTTTAGGAATTTATCCATTTCTTCTAGGTTGTCCGATTTGTTGGCATGTAGTTTTTCACAATATTTTCCTGTAATTGTGTGTATTTCTGTGGTGTTGGTTGTTATTTCTCCTCTCATTTGTGGTTTTATTTATTTGGGTTTTTTCTCTTTTTGGGGGGTAAGTCTGGCCAGAAGTTTATCAATTTTATTGATTTCTTTCAAAGAACCAGTTCCTGGTTTCATTGATCTGTTTTGTTTTCTTGTTTGCTTGTTTTTAGTTTCTATATCATTTATTTCTGCTCTAATCTTTATTATTTCCTTCCTTCTATTTGTTTTAAGTTTTGTTTGTTCAATTTCTAGCTCCTTTAGGTGTAAGGTTAGGTTGCGTACTTGAGATTTTTCTTGCTTCTTGAGATAAGCCTGTATTGCTATAAAGTCTCTATTAGAACCACTTTTGCTGTATCCCAGAAGCTTTGAACCATTGTGATTTCATTTTCATTTGTTTCCAGGTGCTTTCTGATTTCTTTTTTATTTCCTGGTTTACTAATTCATTGTTTAGTAGCATGTTATTTAATCTCTATGTATTTGTGGTCTTTGCAGATTTTTTCTTGTTGTTACTTCTAGTTTCATAATGTTGTAGTCAGAAAAGACACATGGTATGACTTCAGTCTTTTTGAATTTGTTGAGGCTTGTTTTGTGGCCTAATATGTGATCTTTTCTGGAGAATGTCCCATGTGCACTTTAAAAGAATGTGTATTCTGCTGTTTTAGAATGCAATGTTCTGAATATTGTCTGTTAAATCCATCTGATTCAGTGTGTCATTCAAAGCTATTTTTTTCAAGGGTGCCTGGGTGGCTCAGTCAGTTAAGCATCTGACTCTTGGGTTTCAGTTCAGGTATTGATTTCACAGCTTGTGGGTTTGAACCCCATGTCGGGTTCCACACTGACAGTGCAGAGCCTGCTTGGGATTCTCTCTCTGTCCCTCTCTCTGCCTTTCCCCCGCCCCCAAATAAATAAATAAATAAAATAAAAGATTATTTATTTTGAGAAAGAGAGCATACATGCATGCATGAGCAGGGGAAAGGGCAGAGAGAAAGGGAAAGGTCGAATCCCAAGTGGATCTCTGTTGCATAAATATTTACAATTGTTATGTCTTCTTGTTGCATTGTCCCCTTTATTATATAGTGTCCTTCTTTGACTCTTGTTATAGTCTTTGTTTTAAAGTCTATTTTGTCCAATGTAAGTATTGGTACTCTGGCTTTCTTTTGACATCCATTTGCATGATAAATGTTTCTCCACCCTCTCACTTTCAATCTGCAAGTGTCTTTATGTCTAAAATGAGTATCTTGTATGCAGCAAATTGATGGGTCTTGTTTTTTATCCATTCTGTCACCCTATGTCTTTTGATTGGAGCTTTTAGTCCATTTACATTCAAGGTAATTACCAACAGATATGTATTTATTGCTACTTTATTACTTGTTTTGTGTTTTTTTTTCTGAAGATTTTCTCCAACCTGTTCTTGTCTTTCTTCCATAAGGTTTGCTAGCTTTCTTTAGAGATGTAATATTTTCTTTCTCCTTATTCTTTGCATATTTATTAGTGGTTTTTGATTTGTGGTTACCATTAGGTTTGTCTACAACCTCCTCTGCATCTAGCAGCCTATATTAATTTGATGGTCATTTAAGGTTGAGCCCATTCTTTACTCCTCTCCTCTCACATCTTGGGTACATGGTGTCATATTTTATATCCTTTTATTTGTGAGTTCCTTGAATGATTTTTTTTTTACAGAAATACTCATTTTTACTGCTTTTGTGTTTCCTCACATCGTACTGTCGTTTTTGGTCTTTCCTTTCCACTCAAAGAATCCCTTTTAGTTTTTCTTGCAGGGCTGATTTAGTGGCCATGGACCCACAAACTGTGAGATCATGACATGAGCTGAAGTCAGACGCTTAACCGACTGAGCCACCCAGGGGCCCCTGGAGAGAGTATTCTTAGCTGCAGTTTTTTCCCATTCATCACTTTGAATATAGCATGCCTCCCTTCTGGCTTGGATAGTTTCTGCTGAAAAATCTGCTGACAGCTTTGTGGGGTTTCCTTTGTATGTAACTGTCTTTTGTCTTACAGCTTTTCTTTTTTCTTTTTTCTTTTTTTAAAGTTTATTCTGAGGGAGAGACAGAAAGAGCACGAGTGTAGGGCAGAGACAGAGAAAGATAGATAGTGCATTAGATAGTGCAAATGGTTACACATCATGAATATACTGTCCCTGAATTGTACACCTTAAAAGAGTGAATTTTATAGTAGGTGAATTATATCTTAAAGAAATTTCTGAAAAACTGCCACACAATGACTAAATGTAATGTAGTATATTGGAAGAATCCTGAAATAGAAAAAGGACATTAGGAAGAGATTAAGGACATCTTAATAAAGAGTGGATTGTAGTTAATGGTAATATATCAATAAATTTTCAGAATTTCTTTTTTTCTTTAAATTAACACAAAGACGCAAAACCTTAGAAAAGCACAGGAGAAAGAAAACTTACCGCTAATGTTTTGTGAATCCCCTTTTAGTCATTTATGTGCATATATATACAAACAAAAACTGGGTTTTTTTTCTGCACCTCCCTTCTTCCTGTGGTAATGCATCTAGAGCAGCCAATACTTATCTGAAATATTTTTTTTAAATGTTGGGGCGGCTGGGTGGCTTAGTCGGTTAAGCATCCGACTTTGGCTCAGGTCATGATCTCACAATTCGTGGGTTCGAGCCCTGCGTCAGGCTCTGTGCTGACAGCTAGCTCAGAGCCTGGAACCTGTTTCAGATTCTGTGTCTTCTTCTGTCTCTGACCCTCCTCATGTTCATGCTGTCTCTCTCTCAGAAATAAATAAAAAACATTTTTAAAAAAATCTATAAAAATGTTTATTTTGAGATAGCATAAGCCAGATAGGGGCAGAGAGAGGGAGAGAGAATCCCAGACAGGCTCTGTGCTCAGTCTGGAGCCTGATGCAGCGTTTAGTCCCATGACCATGAGATCATGACCTGAGTTGAA